AAGTTCTTACTCGATTTAAATCGGCTTCCTATCTGAATTAGTATGTATGGTGACTGCATTACCGATGAAACGGTATATACCCATGCTAGATTTGCATATTCTCTGTACAGGGCCGTCGAGAGAAAACTCGGGCCCGGGACTAAAAATCCGGAAGAATGGCCGTCCTAGGCACCAGTTTGATTCGATTTTTGAGTATGAGGGCATATGTTGGACAACAGGGGGAGTATAAGGGACTCAAAATGGAGAAACTTTGCGTATGGTTATAGAAGATATGAAATTAATTAACTGACGAAGACCTGCGTGCCAAATGAACTTTTCTCTCAAAGTTTACACTGCTGGCAAATGTAAATAAGGATACAACTAAAGTAAAATACTTTTTTCGCAAAATCTATAAAGGACCCTTATATTTCTCAAAACAACCTGGGTAACAGTTATTCGTCGCCACGCTGTATATCTGGGTCGTACATATTTTGAGGTATCAGGTATATAAATATTAACAAGAATCACCTTCTCTCAGACATGAAAATTCACTTAATTCTGAGACACCTTTAAATTAATGAAAATTAAAAAAGCACTACGTGAAATTAAGGGTTATTTACATTTAAAGGCCACCATTTTTTGCATTATACTTGCTTCTCTTCGATTGCCTTGAATTACTTTTAAGTTAATAGAAGAGTATTCGACAAGATAATCAGTGATTACTTTTCTTAATGAAAATAAAGTGGCATCATATTAGTTGCGATCCCGTACGAGTCCGGACTAGTCAGAAATAGTCAGAATCAGTCAGATTTTACTGGAAATCGATCCCGTACTCGGTTCTCTGACTATTGAGGGGACAAAAAGGAGAGCAAATACGGTTCTCTCTCTGTCAGAAGTTACCAGTTTTAGTCCGAGAATCTTTTGCTGGTAAATTCTGGTAAATGTGTCAAACGATCAGCTGTAGTGTGTTTGGAAACCAAATTGTAAACAAAAGAAAAGTGCACTCTGCTAATTCAAGTTGAAAAGTATTTAATTACTTGTTTAAGTGGATTCTAATGAATTTGAAAGTATTTTTGGTTATTTTCATGTGTGAGCTGAGTGTGTTTACATACAAACTAAGCAAAAATTTACAACCAAAACTTGGAGGTTATGTTGAAGTTGACAGAAGTTACCATTTTTTACTAGAAAGCGATCCCGTACTTTTCAATGTTACTCTCTCGCTCTGAGCGAATTTTTATTTTTTGACAGTTTTACTAGTCCGAGTCCGAGGAATACGGGATTGCACCTATTGTAAGGTAATGTCCAAAATATAAAAAAAAAGTTTTTTGGCGTGGAATCCACCAAGCTAAAATATGGAAAAATCTGGTTTTCTTCGAGCATTTTCGCACTTCTTTACAATAAAGCAGTTTCCTATACTCTTCATTATCCATGTGTTTTCGGTGCAAAACTATTTGTCACGTAAGTCTTTTTACTAATTGAATTTGGGCTCATTTGAAAGCAACATTGAAAGCTTTTCAACGTCCTATTGACCCACAGTTAAAATTTATTTCTTTCTAACTCAAATAGGCTCAGAAAATAAAAATTACGTAGAAAAATAAAAAAAACGCAAGAATTATATTATTTCAAAAAGGAACGAGGCCAAACGAAGCACAATAAGAAGCTAAAAGAAGAAGATTTTCTGATTAAATAGTAAAAAGCTATTAGAATTATTTCAAGTATTTTTCTAGTACTACTATTATCCTTGAAATGCACTCTCGAATGGTGCTATACGACTTTTCCCTCAAGAGTTACGGCCACTTAAACTTCCGTGTCCTCGAATCTAACATCGCCAAACCAAGCATAGGCTTTCTAACTCATTACGTCATCTTCCGATGGACATAATTTCTGAAGGAAAAATCGTAAAGCACCAGTCGAAGGCGCATTTTGAAGGGTAAGAATAGTACTAAATGGCATAGAGCAAGCAAAAGTGGCCATTAAAGCCGTTTTTCGTATACTTAACCGCGAAAAATCTCAATATCTTGGAGCAGTTGTAAGCTCGAGCTAGAGTTCTAAGCAGAAATTTACTTCAGAATCGACCTATTGCTGCACAGCAACATAAACTTTTAAATCTGTATTAATAATTATCATACTCTTAATTTCTTTGGATTACATGTCAAATCGCAAGTCAACTGAATTCATGCTACTTATTGCGTAAAACAGACTACAAGCCATTTAAAAACCTAATTCTAATCTACACGTATATATATCGCATAGGTAACGTAAGAGTCCTTTTCTATAACGTAACAGTCGGACTACTTTTTGCAAACATTGACCTCCAAATTAATTTTATCAGTTCAATAAACACGTAGTTCTTGAGATATAGAAGGAGAGCAGACTTTTTCGATGATATAAAGCAGTTTAAAAATTACTTCCAAAAATAGTAATGTAACAGTCCACTGGTGGAACATTTATAACTCCTAAACAACAGGATTGTAGAATATATTTGAGGTATATATTAAATATTGCTACATACTTATGCTTTCAGATGCAAGAAGAAAAACTATCCGAAAGTTGTATTCTAGCAAGTTTCAGTGGTATTTGAAAAGCACTGTGAGTCAAAACGTATTGTAACAGTACGTGTTTTGGGCGATATGATAATTTTCTTTAATTTATAGAGTCAGAAGCAATCAGCACGCATCCGAAATATATTTATAATATTTATAATAAAAACCCAAAAACGAAGGAGCAATTACATTGCAAAAAAGTAATAACAAGTTATGGTTCTGATATTTCGGGGCCCTTAAGAAGCCCGGGCCCTGAGCGATTCACCCCTTTTCGCCCTCACTCTCGACGGGCCTGTCTCTGTATTCTATGTTCTCTGAGTTTAGTGATACACATAAGGGCCACTAAATTCTTTTGACCATCGTTTCACAAATACAAGTACACCGCGGTGTCCTTGAACCAGATTCAACTGAATCGGCCTAGAACGATGGAATTTCCAATTATACTATTTTGGGGGGAGGTATTCTCGAATCAGAGTACGCGAAGTTCAAAATCGTAGCAAGTGCCGATTTCAAAAACGGTCACTTTTTCGATTGTAAGCTGAAATTTTCATATTTGTCATATAGATAAGGGTGTAGATAACTGATTATATACATATTTACCTGTATATTGCATCCATATGTATATACTAATATGTATATATACATTATTATACATATACTCACAATCAGACACACACACAAAAATTCCGAATAATAGTAGTTTACTAGTGAACCCGCACGGCGGTAAAACGCCCAAGATTGAATTTCAAAAGCCTACAAATCATTCCAAATGTTAGAGTGATAAGCGATTCGGGAGTCAAATGGTTATCAGGTTATCTGGTTATGTGGTTATATTTTTATTCAGTTTACAACAATAGGTGTATTCTCGTATTTTTCCAGCAGAAAACTGTCAGCAGCAAAATTCTAATGAATTTTTATCTGTTCTCTCTCAAAGAGAAAAATGTTAGCAAAGGTACACGAACGCAAAAGTAGCAAAAACTTGCAAGTTTTTAGTACAGCTGATCGAAATTTTGTGTACATGCAAAAGCATAAAACAGAAAACATGAAAAGAATATATATTAAAAGTTTTCCTAAAGCAATTTGCTAATCAAACATGCGTAAATGAGTATTAGCTTTCTTCCGATACATTGCAGTTCTAATAAGTTATTTCAAACCTAAAAATCATAATAATAAATCTACATCTAAATCTAAAATAAATTTGCATATTTTCATAAATTGAAAACTGCTGATCAGCTGTTTTTCTTGCTGGCATATGGCTGCTGGCAAAAATTTTTCCACCAGAAACTAGCAGCTTTTCATCAGAATGAAATGTCAATTTGGTCTCTCAATTTCCCCTACTTTGCTGGATTTTTATGTACGCGAACAAGAAAATCTGATAGCTTTGATCATGATAAAAACATAGTAAGGTAAAACCGGTCTCTCAATTCGTCGGCCATGATTTTTTTTGAAGTTTGCCAAAATTTTAAAATCATATAAAATTGAGAGTAAAAAAAAAGGAATTGTTCAAAGTTGTTGTTGGTTGAGATTGAAAATGAGAATGTGTGTGAGTTTGTGTGTAAAATTTTAAAATTAAATTGTTTGCAAACGTCAATAATTCGAAAAATTCCTCTCAGCAGTTCTACCTTGGTTTTGATAACTATCAATAATAATTTTTAACCAGATAACCAGATAACCAAGCAAGTGTGAACAACCTTATTTTCGTTTTTCGTCAATGTTATTGTGGCTTATTAACATTTTATTTATAATATTTTTGTTGAGCTTTGTACCACGTTTATGTTTATTAGGAAAATGGAAAAAGCAACAAAGTCTAAGCGGTAGAAGTTATAGCAGCTATTTCGGAGATCACCACATCTCCTCATCAAACTTCTTTTTTCTAGACTTCAGCGGGGTTCGAATCCGCGTCATCGATGTGCAAAGTCAGAAGCGTTAACCACTGAGACATGCACACCCCGTAAACTCTTGTTGCTGATTCATTTCCTTATTCAACCAACAACTATTAAGTGCAGCTGATTTGCCGCTATTTAAACTTGACAGCGTGGTTGTTGTTGTCAATTCTATATATTTATTTATTTCCTAAACTGTGTATTTGTCAATGTTATTGTGGCTTACTAACATTTTATTTTTAGTATTTTTATTGAGCTTGTACCACGATTATGTTTATTTGGAAAAATGGAAAAGGCAGACAAGTCCCCGCTGAAGTCTAAAAAAAAAGAAGTCTGATGAGGAGATGTGGTTGGTGATCTCCGAAATAGCTGCTATAACTTCTACAGCTTACACTTTGTTGCTTTTTCCATTTTTACTAATAAACATAATCGTGGTACAAAGCTCAATAACAATATTAAAAACTAATTGTTTTTCTTTAATCAAATTTAAGGATTTTTATGGTGCATATTTTTTATTTTCATTGAGCATATTTCGTTGATTTTAGTGCTTTAGTCCACATTTTTATGTTCTCTAGTTATTACTGTATTATCTTACCTTGGTTGCGTAGATTGTTCGGTACACTAATGTTTAGGCTAACGTTTTGCAGGAAAACATTGTATGGATTATTTATTGTAGTTGTTATAGGGTAGTATTCGTTAACTAGCATTTGCGTTTCTTTGTCAAGGTTGCATTGCGTGTTCAAATGGAATCTACAGTAAATAATATGAAATCATACATAACAACATTAAAACGTTGCAACTTCCGGCTTGCGATATAACTTACGTTGGAGTAATATAGCACAGCGGATTGATTTCAATATTATCATCGAGATCTTTTCCGCGAGAATAATGACGAAAGGCATTGCGTGAGAAAACGGCTGATTTTGTGAATTGCACCGCCAACTTATCAGAACCCATTTGAGCTTCGATGCGTGCAACACGTAGTTGTGTGTTTTCCAAAAATTGACAAGCGTCGGTAGAGAAACCTAGTTGGTAATATAAGTGCGGCTCCAACTTCAATTCTGGATCAAAATGCAGCAGTGTACCTTCTGGTGGTTTACTGTTCTTTTGAGTCTCTTGTACATCGAGTAAACACTGGAATGATTTGCACATACTGGCTGGCAACTTGTAAAAGTTTGTACCATCTGTGAGAACAATGGCACAGTGTCGTATTTTAATGGGAACATCAGTAAGCAACCTGCATAAAGGATATACATGATAATATTTGATTTCTCAAATTATGGTTCTTTTATAACGTACTTTATGATGAGATAAACGTTAATGGTTTCATCATTTTTCAATTCTAAGTGTTCGAAGCTGGCATACATTTTAATCAGTTTTGTCAACTTATCCAAATCGATAGTAATTGGTGACTTTATTGCAACGAAAGCACTATCCCAGCGTTCTATAATTTCAGGTGCACTTTGACCGTGAGAGATGGGTGCCGCACCCTACAAGCAAAATATGTATACTCAATGAAAGGAATTCGCTTCAACAGATGGGAAACAAGACACGTACTTTAAATACTTTCCATAGATTTTCGAGCACAATAATTCGGTCTTTCTGTTCACATCTAACTCGCAAGGACAGCGCTTCAATACTGCATGATATAAAGTCGGTAATCGAAGCTGACAAAAAAGCGCATCGTAGAGTCTTCAGTAAAACATCAGAGAATATAGACGACCATTGTTCACGTCGATAATCAGTTAGCATCACAGAGTAAAGACTGAAAATAAATTAATATATAACTAAATTTAAATTCTGGCATGTACATCACCAGAACATACGTTAATGCATTAGCGTGATCACCACTTTTGTAATATTCCTCGGCCATGTCGATGGCGAGTTTATTTCGAAATCGTGGACATTTGTAAATTTTGAACTGAGCTCGTGCTAAACTAAGCAAGTTTATGATGGCGTTCTGTAATTGAAAGATGTTATTGTTATATTTACTAGTTGTTGGGATTTTTACTGGCGGGTTTATTTTTTTTACCGAGTGATTGAAAGATTTCTCATTTTCCCGAATAAGCACATTTATTTGTTGCTCGGACACTGGGTCCCCAGTTTTGACAGCTCGAATACCAAAGAATTCCGTATACAATGCCACTGAATTGTTGTTTTGCATTGAATTTGGAGATGTCGGGTCAGTAGGACTTAACAAAATAGCTAGGATGAAACGATACATTTAAATGGCTATTTAGTAAGAGATAATTTTAACGAAAAAAAAAACAACTGACTTAAATGCTCATATAAAAATTTACGAGAACCATTCGTTTCTTTATGGTCCAATGATTGGCATTAAACCAAATCAGTATGGGAACACCCTTCAAGTACCATTATTCCGGTAAAAAAAATTATTGAAAACGGTTCACGTGGTCAAAAGTTATCCGGTACCATACATAAAAAAAAATATTTTCCGGAGAATAGATAATTTCCTCCTTTTTTGAAGTCGGTTAAAAAATAAGATACGAGTTTTTGTTTTTGGTAAGGCATACATATACATTTTTTTTAAATATTTTTGTAGTTAGCCTTCTTAGAACGGAAATAGATGAGCGACTGCGAGTTACTCAAACTCGGGCAAGTCTTTATAATTACCATTACTCTGTAGGAAGGATTCTTTGCGCTTCATTGTATATTCTGCAGCTTTGTTATAATAAATGCCAGGATTTTGAGTCTGTAATGCAGGTAGCCCATTTTTTATTGCCTCACAAAATAATTCCGCAAACACGCTATGTCTAAAAATAAATATGTAAGAGATAAAATGATATAACTTAAAATATGCATGTCTAAAACATCCACTTACTGGGTGCTTAACCAAGCATAGTGCTCAAATATTAAATCCTTGAAGCCTATACGATTCTTATATTTCTCTATGTGACTTATAAAGTGGTTGATTGCATCACGCGGCACCTTTAA